ACAACTGGGTTTCAGATATCTGTCAGCGTCCCCTGGGGTAGGACGTTGCTAAAACACACAGCAACGGTCAGTTCCTCTCCTCACGCATCAGTGGCTGTGTCACAGAGGCAGGCAAGCTGGTCTGACTGGTTCCAGTCAGAAGGACTGGGGAGAGAATTCAGAGGGTGGGAACTAATCCTGTAGCAAATGTGAGCTGTCTGACAATCCCAGGGACCGCATGATTTATTGTCACAATGGGGATACTTTTTACTTCTTAGAATAGAAAGGAATGCTGTTGATAATCACACCGGGACATTGGGTCTTGACTAGAAATGCCTGAAACACAGAGGGGTATACAGCTACCTGATTAAAATCGAGGGGTTCCCTAAGGCCTCGGGTAAATTCCAGCTCATCACCTGACAACCATCTACTTGCATGGCAGGAGGAAACCACTCTTTTCAAACCACCGCATACTAGTAAATAATCCAGAAGGCCTATTTCAAGGGCTTACTCCCCACAAAAGTTTGGGATCTTCCTCTCTGGAATCCTTGGACTGAAAGCCAGAGCTCTACAGCCAGGATGAGGGGCCCCAGTCCCCAGAGCTGATAGAGTAGAAGACTTGCAAAAGGAAAGGCAGTAGACATCCGTTGATTTCTCAGTCGCTGGTCTCTTCCTAGATCCCTGATACCACACCAGCCTCAGGGAGGAGGAAGTAAGGGGGCTATTCAGGACTCAGTGGGGTCAGGGGCTGTCCCACCAGTGAACCTCTGTTCCCCTTTCCTCACTGGACTCCAGGGGTTACAGGTCAGCCACTGGCTCAGAAGCTACCAGTGTAGTAATGAGAGGAGGCCATGATTACAGGCCCAAGGCCAGTCCATAGCTGATGCCAGCTGGGACTGAAATTGATGTGCATTCTACCTAACAAGTGTCTTCCAAATTCTACAGCTGGAAAACAGGACTCCATTACTTTCCCATGGTCCGTTTGATAATTATCCTATTCAGCGTTCTTCCTATGTTGTGAATTTTTAGCTTCTCCAATTTGCCTCTCTTTTGCCTCCTCCTGCACTAATTAACAGAATTCCAAGTCTGGCTTTGAAACCACAGAACTCCCCAACTACTGGTGAAAAAAGTCTCAGCAAGATCAGGCGGGAAAAATATTTCTCTGTTCTCCTAACAGCTGCAGAAAAGCAAGCACTATTCAATGTCCCAAAAGTGTTCTTGCTAAGGTTATTATTTTTTTTAAAGCTTTTATGTATTTGAGAGTGAGCGCGCGAGCGAATGAGCTAGAGCAATGGGGAGGGGCAGAGAGAAAAGCAGATTCCTCACTGAGCAGAGAGCCCAAGGGGGAGTGGTGCTCAATCCCAGGATCCTGAGATCATGACCTGAGCCAAAGGCAGATACTTAACTGACTGAACCACTCAGGTGCCCCTTAATAAGGTGATTTTTAAGGAGTCTTTCAAGACTCCTGGACTTCAGACATTGTTAATACATCCTGGGAAAGTAATCTTTAAAGTCTATAAATTTTAAAGACTTTAAAGTCTGTAACCCTGATTGCTTACTTAATAATTGGTAGTCCTGGATGGGTGTCGGGGGGGGGCAGTTGGCTGAGCATCTCTTAATTTTGGCTCAGGTCATAATCCCAGGGTCAAGAGATCGAGCCCTGCCTCCAGCTTTGTGCTCAGCTCAGAGTCAGCCTGAGAGTCTCTCGCCCTCTGCCCCTCTCCCAACTCGCATACACTCCCTCTCTCTAAATAAATAAATAAATACAATCTTTAAAATAACGATAATAATCTGTAGTCCTGGTAGCACTATTTAAATAGATATGCTAGGTTTTTTTGGAAGATGCGATTTTTCATGCTTAAGCCAGGAGAGGATCATTATTAGAAAGCTGATCTACTCATTAGAGCATGGAGATAAAAATGAATTAAAAAACACTGGCTTTATTGGATTTTGTTTTCAAACAGGATTGGACAATCAAATGTTTAACTTTATCAGCAATAAAGAGCCAACTGTTTCAATGTCTGGTGGCTAAAGTTATTCTATTTGCCTTTTGCAGATCTCTGCAAGGCCTGAGCCAAGCTGTCTGGGTCATAGGAAGTACATGGATCCTGCACTGGGGCCAGGGCCCAACCCACAGCAACCAGGAGAGAGCAGGAATGAGCTCTTGGCCCTTCGAGCAACCACGGAAGGTCTTCACCTTCTATAGGCAATACAGCTGGTCGTGTCAAGATCACTTTCCAGTCCTCTTCCTGTTTGGAGGGATGAGAAGTCCCAGTGATTTCACTAAGGGGACAGAGGTGAGGAAGGGGGGTTGGAGGTCCCATTGCCATCACGCAGACACCTTTTCTCAGTCCACTGTCGGAAGAGAGGCCACTAGGCTTATCTGAACATGAGGGTACTGAGAATTTGAGGGGGTTCAGAGCCAAAGTCCCATTCTCTACTCTGCCTCTGTTTTCAAAAAAAGAAAGAAAGAAAGAAAGAAAGAAAGAAAGAAAGAAAGAAAGAAAGAAAGAGAAAGAAAGAAAGAAAGATTTTAAACAGAACACGTAAAAACTCTAAGAGCTAGGGGCACCTGGCTGGCTCAGTCAGTAGAGCATGTGACTCCTGATCTCGGGGTCATGAGTTTGAGCCCCATGTTAGGCACAGAGATTACTTTTTTTTTTTTTTTAAGATTTTATTTATTTATTTGACACAGAGAGAGAGAGATCACAAGTAGGCAGAGAGGCAGGCAGAGAGAGAAGGAGAAGCAGGCTCCCCGCTGAGCAGAGAGCCCGATGTGGGGCTCGATCCCAGACCCTGAGATCATGACCTGAACCAAAGGCAGAGGTTTTAACCCACTGAGCCACCCAGGTGCCCCCAGAGATTACTTTTAAAATAAAAATTAATTAATTAATAACATCTGGGGGGGGACCCTATAAATGCTACTAAACTCTACTCACTTTAGAAATCCTAAGTTCACTGGGAACCAAGGAGGGTGGGAAGAAATCCATCTTAAGCCTTACTTTGCAGTAACTCTGAACCACAGTTCGGACCTGAGGGAAAAGGCTTGGATAGTCATTGGTAATAGTGAAATGACCCAAAAATAAATAAATAAAATAAATTAAGCCAGGAGGAGAAAACTAACTAGAATAAACCTATTTTTTTTTAAGATTTTATTTATTCATTTGACAGACAGAGATCACAAGTAGGCAGAGAGGCAGGCAGAGAGAGAGAGAGAGAGAGGAAAGCAGGCTCCCTGCTGAGCAGAGCACCCAGATGTGGGGCTCAATCCCAGGACCCTGAGATCATGACCTGAGCTGAAGGCAGAGGCTTAACCCACTGAGCCACCCAGGTGCCCCTGAACCTATATTCTTAACAAAAGAATTCACAAGCGCTAGAATTCCTTCGGTAATGGGTACAAGTTGAAGGCAGAGCAGGACAGGGGTCCCAAGGGCCTTCCTGTACTCATCCCGCTATGGTTCTTTGCCCAGCCCAGATACACAAGCTTCACCACTTTCCAAGTGGCTTATCACTTCAGTTTTATAGACTGAAAATCCTATTCGTGGGCAAGAAAAAGGATCAGCACGTTGAGGAATCAGGGAATGAGGGCAACCCTGCTGACGAGGGCCCTGATTTCATGACTCCAGGCAGGCTAACTGTCCTCATTCCTGCCCCTTGGCGCTCACCCACTGGCTCTAGATATTCCATTTACTTCCTTCTTTCCTCTTTTCCCATGACCAACTGTATACTTCCCAGCTTCCCACTACCTTGCTGTCCACTCTAACCTAAAAAAAGCTTCTCGGAGAAAGGTTTTTCTGTTGCTCACCACAGAAATACAGAAAATGGGTAGAAAGCCTGGTTTGTGTTGCTGGTTTTCCAGCTACCCTGCGAATCTCTTTTCTACCACCCTTTCGTAATCAAGGGTGGATTTCAACTCCCATTCGTACATACTTGCTCCAACACTTATACTGGGGGACTCTTTCTAACTATAAAATACAGGGGGCTGGCAAACTCCAGATGGGAATCTTCTACCTTAATGTCCCTCGAAATTTAATCTGATTAAATCATTCTGATACAGGATTATAGTGGCAAAAGGAACCAAAGACTCATTTCCTATATTTGAGGGAAGCTGGAGAAATATGTTTTATAGGGCAAAATATACTCTGAGGCCCGAATGGGCCTGGTGGCCCATCTTTTTCGTGTGTCTGGAATGAAAAGACAGTGGCAGCGGGCAGCCAATCCCGAAAGCTACCAGTCAGTCCCAGGCCTGGGATCCTGCTGTGGAGAGTGCTTATGCAGAACTCTAGCTGTGAGAAAGGCAAGAATTGACAATGCTTAAAAAAACTGCCCACGTTTAACGACTCTTATTCTTGGGGTTGTGAGTTCGAGCCCCACATTGGAGGTAGAGTTTATTTAGGAAAAAGAGAGGGAGAGGGGGGAGAATTAATTATCTTGCCTCAGGGCCCAGCAGCACTTCAAGGCTCTCTGTCAAAATACTGGGGACTGGGGCCTATACAGCTCCATCCAGAGCACTTGCACGGAAAGAGGGCTTGCCCTACCAGTAAGGAGCATTTCAAACCAAGAGACATGCAAATTCCAAGCCTTTCCTCTAGCATAAAAAGAAACAGTATAGGGGAATTTGTGGGTGGCTCAGTCGGTTAAGCATCCGCCTCTGGATTCGGCTCAGGCTGTGATCTCATGGCTCAGGGCATGAAGCCCCCCTCCACGTGGGGCTCTTGGCTCAGCGGGAGTTGGCTTCATATTCTCTCCCTCTGCCCCTTCCCCACTCGTGTGCTCTCTCTCAAATCAATCTTTAAAATAAGTAAATAGAAAAATAATATAAGGAAGAAATAAACATTGAAATAAAACCCCAAAACAGAAGGTTGAGCTCTGTTGTTAGGAAAGTCTGAAGCTCGGGAAGCTCTCCAGACCCGGAAGCGTTCCACAACACATGAGAAGGGAAATGCGGAGAAGTCGCCCCAGTTAGTGAGAAGCTGCACTTAAGCCTTCGAATCGGACAGTCTAACCAGGAGAGTTCTTACTCAGTGCCATGGCGTTTCCGTAATTCTTTAATATCACGTTCGTGTAAAGAGCCTTCTCGGGCCAGTCCAGGCGACTGCACTCTTTGTTTCTGAAGCCCAGGACCACATCGTCGAAGGGCACCGGCCCTGGCAACAGGAGGTTTTGTGCACTCTGACGCTGGGTCGTCGCAGCACCTGCTCCTCGAAGAAGGAAGGCCGGGAACTTGAGGAGTGGGGGGTGGACGCGTCTGAGGAGTCGCTCTTGGGGGTGTGGGGGGTGGTACACAGAAGCTGGCACGGCCCTAACCACCCCGGGCACGAGGAGAGACACTGCTGGCGTCGACCTCCGCCGGGGAACCCGGGACCCGCACCCACTCCCCTCCGGCGCTGGCGGCATGGCTAGGTGAGGTAAACGGGAGAACACAGGACAAAACAGGAGACTGCAACCCTCCGCGGCTCACTCGCCACCGACCACACAGGACCAGTGAAACTACATGTCTGTTCGACTGGCAAGGGCCTCGGCCCCGCCCCCAGCCAACTTCCGCGTCCTCTCTAGGCTGCTCGGAGGACCTCGCGTCTCGGCGGGCCGCTCCAAAGGGCGCCTGGATCGCGCGGCCCGTGGGTGCTTGGACCGGAAACAGGGCGTCCGGGGCGGTGGGTTAGGGCCTGAGAGATCCTGCTAGGCTTGTCCCGCTCGCCTTGCGTTTTACGCCAATCATTAAAGAATACGCCCCCCCCCCTTGTATTTCCCATTGGACAACTAAAGAGAGAGAGAGAAAAGCCAAACGCACCCCAAATATAGAGAAATAACTACTTTTAACATTTTATTTATTTTTTATTTTTTTGAAAAAATTTTTAACTTGAAGATTCCTTACAAGATTATTACAATAATCAATACAATGTGATATCACAATAAAGATAGACACACAAATGAAACTAAGTAGACTCAAAGCATAGCAATAAGCACCTAACAAAATGCTCCATTACCAGATTGATACAACAGATATATATATAAATTAAAACCAGAATTAGGTATTATCACATACCTACTAACATGACTGAAATTTTAAAATAGTAATGATAATCAAGTAAGGTGAGAATATGGAGCATCTGGAAGTCTCATTTTTACTGATGAGAGTATAAAATGGTATAACCACTTTGGTTGTTTGTGGTTTTGTTTTGTTTTGGTTTTGTTTTTACTGTTAACATTTTAGAGAATTCTACTCTGACAATTTTCTACATATAATTTGATATTTTTATGTTTTTGTCATCTCCAATTTTCCCACTTGATTTTGTCATATAAGCGCACCCTCCCCCATACTGTGACACCCATTATAACACTCTGTTAACTGGATTATCATCATATATTTATTCATCCTATATCAAATCACCCAGTCTGAGCCCAGGAAATCAGCCTTCCACTGAATAGTGCCACTGAATTGGGTCTCAGCCTGTCCTCAAGGAAGTACTATTGAACTTGTCACTGTTTTCTCTCCGAGAAACACAGTACGTTTTTTTTTTTTTTTTTACACAGCTCCTCTCTATAATAACTCAAAAGAAGACATTTTTATGGTCTTGCTATCAAAGAGAGTTTAATAGAGCAACTAACTGGTTAGTTTTGGCCTATGGACCCAGGGAGCTGGCTATTAGAAAGCTAACAAATTAAGGGCTCAATCCCATTTACAATTGCACCCAAAACCATAAGTTGCCTAGGAATAAACCTAACCAAAGAGGCAAAGGATCTGTACTCAGAAAACTACAGAACACTCATGAAAGAAACTGAGGAAGATACAAATGGAAAAATGTTCTATGTTCATGGATTGGAAGAACAAATATTGTAAAAATGTCCATGCCACCTAGAGCAATCTATACATTCAATGCAATTCTTATCAAAATATCATCAACTTTTTTCACAGAGCTAGAACAAATAATCCTAAAATTTGTATGGAACCAGAAAAGACTCCGAATAGCCAAAGGAATGTTAAAAATGAAAACCAAAACTGGTGTCATCCCAATCCCAGACTTTGAGCTCTATTAAAAGCTGTGATCATCAAGACAGTGTGGTACTGGCACAAAAACAGACTCGTAGATCAATGGAACAGAATAGAAAGCCCAGAAATAGACCCTCAACTCTACGGCCAACTAATTTTCGACAAAGCAGGAAAGAATGTCCAATGGAAAAAAGACAGTCTCTTCAATAAATGGTGCTGGGAAAGTTGGACAGCCACATGCAGAAGAATGAGACTGAACCATTTCCTTACACCACACAAAAAAATAGCCTCAAAATGGATGAAAGACCTCAATGTGAAACAGGAATCTATCAAATCCTAGAGGAGAACACAGGAAGCAACCTCTTCAACCTCAGCTGCAGCAACTTCTTGCTAGACACGTCTCCAAAGACCAGGGAAACAAAGGAAAAAATGAACTATTGGGACTTCATCATGATAAAAAGTTTTTGCACAGCAAAAGAAACAGTCAACAAAACCAAAAACAACCAACACAATGGAAGAAGATATTTGCAAATGACGTATCAGATAAAAGGTTAGTATCCAAGACCTATAAAGAATTTTTCAAACTCAACACCCCAAAAAACAAATACTCCAGTGAAGAAATGGGGAGACGACATAAACAGACATTTCTCCAAAGAAGGCATGCAAACGGCCAACAGACACATGAAAAAATGCTCAATATCACTTGGCATCAGGGAAATACAAATCAAACACACAGTGAGATACCACCTCACACCAGTCAGAGTGGCTAAAATTAACAAGTCAGGAAACGACAGATGTTGGCGAGGATGTGGAAAAAGGGGAACCCTCCTACACTGTTGGCGGGAATGTAAGCTGGTGCAGCCACTCTGGGAAACAGTATGGAGATTCCTCAAAAAATTGAAAATAGAGCTACCCTATGACCTAGCAACTGCACTACTGGGTATTTACCCCAAAGATACAAATGTAGTGATCCAAAGGGCACCTGCACCCCAATGTTTATAGCAGCAATGTCCACAATAGCCAAACTATAGAAAGGGCCCAGATGTCCATCAACAAATGAATGGATAAAGAAGACATGGTATATATATACAATGGAATACTACTTAGCCATTAAAGAAAATGAAATCTTGCCATTGGCAACGATGTGGATGGGATAGAGAGTGTTATGCTAAGTGAAATAAGCCAGTGAGAGGAAGACAATTATCATATGATCTCACTGATATGTGGAATTCAAGAGACAAAACAGAGGATCAGAGGGGAAGAGAGGAAAAAAATAAAACAAGATGAAATCAGAGAGAGAGACAAACCATAAGAGACTCTTAAGCATAGGAAACAAACTGAGGGTTGCTGGAGGGGAGAGGGGTGGGAGCTGGGGTAACTGGGTAGTGGACATTAAGAAGGACACGTGGTGTAATGAGTACTGGGTGTCATATAAGACTGATGAATCACTGACCTCTACCTCTGAAATTAATAATACATTATACATTAATTGAATTTTAAAAAATTAAAAAGAAAGAAAGACACCTAACAGCAAATCTTACCTAAGGGCTAAAGGGACCAGTAAGTGCAATTGTAACTTTTTACTCAAATCTATTTGTTCTCGGAATTCAGCCTGCTGCCATGTTTCTATAGATAACATTCTTGCACAATATGCAAGAATGCAACAATATGAAAATATTGCTTTAGTTGTTTTGCAGAGACTTGTGTTTCAGTAGAAACACCAGCCAGAACCACTTAGGACCTCCAACCTTCTCTTGGAGCATGTACCAGTGTCTGATGAATAAATATTTGATATAGAAGGGCCTAAAACCCCACCCCAGACTCATACCAAGGGGGCCACTTTCTGATCATGGGTCATACGAAGAGACATGCAGAAGATCTGTGAAGATGCAGACAATGATCACTTCAACACTTCAGTTACTTATTAACTCCCTTTATCTGAGTTTGAAATCATGTAACTCCTCTTCCCTACACCCAGATCGTTTTGCATTCACTTTTTAAAAAAATTTTTTAAATTTCTTTTCAGCTTAACAGTATTCATTGTTTTTGCACCACACCCAGTGCTGCATGCAATCTGTGCCCTCTCCAATACCCACCACCTGGTTCCCCCAACCTCCCACCCGCCGCCCCATCAAACCCCTCAGATGGTTTTCAGAGTCCATAGTCTCTCATGGTTCACCTCCCTTTCCAATTTCCCTCAACTCCCTTCTCCTCTCTAACTCCCCTTGTCCTCCATGCTATTTGTTATGCTCCACAAATAAGTGAAACCATATGATAATTGACTCTCTCTGCTTGACTTATTTCACTCAGCATAATCTCTTCCAGTCCGTCCATGTAGCTACAAAAGTTGGGTATTCATCCTTTCTGATGGAGGCATAATACTCCATAGTGTATATGGACCACATCTTCCTTATCCATTCGTCTGTTGAAGGGCATCTTGGTTCTTTCCACAGTTTGGCGACCGTGGCCATTGCTGCTATAAACATTGGGGTACAGATGGCCCTTCTTTTTTCATTCACTTTTAAATACCAAGAGTCTCCCCCTTTGAGGAGAGGAATTTGAGACTTGCCTTCCCTTCTCCTTTGCCTGCCTCTTTTTTCTTTTTTCCGGATAAGCTCTATGCCCAACCTGGAGCCCAAACTCATGACCCCAAGATCAAGAGTCACAATCTCCACAGACCGAGCCAGCCAATCTCTCCGCTCCTTTGGCTACGTCTTGAGTAAAGCCTTTTCCTCCTGCGTACTTGGTGTCTCAGTGATTGGCTCTGCGGCACATGGGTCATATGAACCTGGGTTGGTCACAAATTTGGTGAGCCAGCCGGGAGCTCTTTGACTTTGGTTCGATGGCCCCAGCCATTAAAGGGAGTCTTGTGACAAGTCCAAGCAGCTGCCCAGGCTCTTCATCCTAGGGACCTTCCCTGGGGGTTCCACCCCAATTTGGGTCCACTGACCTTCAGGCGCTTAATTTAACTCTTGTGGCAAGGAAACAGCTCTTGGCTTCCATAGGGACAGACACCTCTTTGGTAAGTAACCTCAGAACCGGTGACCAAATGCTTCTTTCTCCCCCCCCCCATCCCCCTTCCTCCCCCCGCCCCCACCACCCGCCGCCACCTTTGGTTCTCTCCAAACTGGCGTTTGGCTTTGGCTCTCTTAGCCTTCTTTTTCTTGCTTAAGAAAAGGTTGACGAGGAAGCCATTTATTCAGTTGAT